CAGCTCTCCAGGTTTCCTGGAAGCTGTTTGTGGAGAGGTTATATGATGTATTGGCTCCTAATGGGTAGGTGACTTCTAAGTCAGAACAGTGGCCACACTCTGGTGTGAGTCTTGTTCCTTTGCACCTGTGTGGTACTAGGCCATGGTGGGGCGGTGGGGAGCAGCTGTGTGGGTTGCTACTTAGATTAGCACAGAGATTCCCAGGGAGGTAAATGCCTAATTATGCCCTACTCCAAGCTGTCATTCCTGACCTCTCCTTCCAGATGAATCTGATGATGCMAAATATGGCCCACAGTACTCTTAGGAGTCTAGAGATTTAGTTATACTTGGTGGCTATTGCACATGGTTGTACAGATAGTTAATACTTGAGCTATATAGAAAAGGACTTGTTCAATTCAATCATGGTAGATGATCGATTTGAGATTTAGTTAACTGTACCTAGGAAAAGACTTACATCTAGCATGAGGTCGTAATATATGGATCCCTGTTCCCCACTTCTCATAGTTGAGGCAAATTACAGGCATGGGGTCAAAAGGGTGTGTACACCTTGGTGCCATGAGCCTAGGAAACCCAAATCTGTAAGACATCATATATTAMTGCCGCAGTCTGGCTGGGCACAAAATCACGAGCCACTCAAGCAGGAACAAACTTTATTTCCAAAACTCCCKCGAACGCCACGCACTCAGCCTTCTACCGGGACACACCACACCAACTGGTAATACCTCCTCCGGAAAATCCCTCCTACCACACTTCCCCAATCAATGGGAACTCTCCKGGAGTCCGGGAGAGCTCCAAAGTAGCAGGCCCAGCTGGACAGCAGGGGTCTAATCTCCAATTGAATGCACATCTTAACATAATCATTATCATCTCAATGGCTTGCTGGCTGGTGTCACCTTTCAACCAAAAATGCCATGCATCATTCCTACTGGGCTATGGCTCTTAGCRTATTAGGAAGGAAGAGTCAACCTAAATCTTTTTGACTCTCATGTTTTAAGCAGGTAATGAAGGATATGAGTGTTAGGGGTGGAAGGGTTCCTCATCCTTAAAGATACTTTTAAATCTGTTGAGCCCGGCCTTTAGTGAGTGCCCATCCTTCCCTTTATGAACACATCTAAAGAGGACCACACACACGCATTGGGGTTGGGGTGGTGGTTCAGTGGTAGAACGCTTGCCTAGCATGTGTGAGGCCCTGGGTACAATTCTCAGCACCACATCATGATAAATTAATAAAATAAATAAAATAAAGGTCCACCAAAAACTAAAAGATATTAAATTAAAAAAAAAAAGAGGACCACACACCAGTCCCAAATGTTCCTGTGGTTTAGTATATCTGTAATCTGATCTCGCCAGCTGTGTTACTCAGCTTTTCCTCACTGTGACCAAAAATACCTGACAAGAACAACTTAGTGAAAGACAGATTTATTTGGCTCATGGGTTGAGAGGTTTGAGTCCATAATCAGCTGTCTCCATTTCTTGGGGCCTGAGGTGAGCAGAACATCCTGGTGGAAAGACGGTGGAGGAAACAGAGAAAAGCATCTGGAAGGACGGAAAGAAAGTGGGGGAGGGGTAAGAAGAAGATATACAGATGCCACCTCCGCCTCCCAGTGCTCCAATCAGCTATCAGAGGATCAATCCACCAGTGAGGTCAGAGCCTTCATGATCCAATTATTGCCTAAGAGCCCCACCTTTGTACACCTGAGATCCTGGGGACATTCCAAATCAAAACCATCACACCAGCCTTATGGGAGATATCTTTAAGTTGGAGAAAATATTTATCTGGGTCAAAACTGTAGGATGAAGATCTGGCCTTTTTGTGTGTGGTATTGATGTGTGTGTGTGTGTGTGTGTGTGTGTGTGTGTGTATGTGTGTGTGTGTATTCCTGTACATACTTCTTCCTCAGAGACAGAATGTTTAAGGAATTGGAAAACCTGGTTCCGGTGCTTTAAACTATCAACTATATTGATAAATCTGTTGGCTTGATTTCGATTAGTGTCATTTGAGTGTTCTATCCATTTTCTCTTATTATAATAAACTTAGCTTTTTAAGAAAGTAATATGCACTGTTTGAAGTGAGTGAAACAGTAGAAAGATCTATAAAGAAAAATGGACACTCCTCCAGCCCCAATGCCACAATTTTCAGGCAGCCATTGACCAAGTTTGGGATGTGCCTTTCCATTTCATTCTCTGTGCGCACACAAATGCATAAAGACATATGCATCAGGTAGGATTGTTTTATGTTCATGCTATAATTGTTACTCTATGATTTTTTAACACATCAAGTATATATGCAAGTTCTTACATATAGATCTCATTATTTTTAGTAATAGCATTATACTCTAAAAGTATTAACCCTGTCCCTATGAATTGAACATTAAGGCTATTTCCTCCCTCTGCACCTTTTTTTCTTTTTTACCACCACCAATGGTACAGTAAACATACTGTACCATTAAACCAATAAACCAATACTGGTGCACTGTTGATTTAATTATTTATTTTGGTGCTGGAGACTGAGCCCAGGGCCTCCCACACGCTAGGCAAGCGCCTTTTTAAAATTTTGAGATAGGGTCTTGCTAAGTTGTCCAGGCTGCACTTGTGATCCTTTCTGCCTTAGTCTTCCAAGAAGCCAGAATTACAGGCGTGCACCACCACACCCAGCTTGGGGCATTCATTTTTTTGTAAGGCAAAGGTRTAGAAATCTTTGGATCAAAGAGTATGTGGTGTGCACTATTAATTTCAAGGGCTAGGGATATAGCTCAGAGGCAAAGCATGGGCAAGGCCCTGGRTTTGATCTCTAGGAGTGCGCACATGCTCAAGTTCGTTAATGTCAATAGTTTCCTTCCCTTAAGCTTGCAGCAATATATGCTTCAAGTCCTTCCTGGCATCCTTGCCTGACCTGGTTGCAAATGTTTTTCTCTGTGCTCCCCTCCAAGCTACTCTTCACTGTGTAGAAGAGTGATATTTTTCTTTTTTTCTACACTACAGATTGAGCCCAGGAATGCTCTACCACTGAACTACATTCCCAGTCCTTTTTATTTTATTTTCATACAGGATCTAGCTATGTTGCCCAGGCGGACTTCCGACTGGCAATCCTCCTGCCTCAGCTTCCCTGAATTGCTGCGATTACAAGTGTGTGCCGCCATGTTCAATTTAAAATGATTTTTTTGAAATACAAATCTATGTCACCTCCCTGTTTAAAATACTTCAATTTCTTCTTGTCATTCTTAGAATAAAGAGCAAAATATTTGACACAACCAAAAAAAAAAAATTAGCTTGTGACTTAAAAGCCTACCTGGTTCTCTGAGGGRCATTTCTCCTAATAGGAAGAGAGTCCTCAATTCTACGGAGAAATCGCCACAACAGGGAGGTTGTTTGCCAGTATAAGGGAGCTACACTTTATAAAATGTGACTAACTTATGCCTGAAAGGAATAATTATTTCTCTATTATTTGCCTTGATGGAAATGTTTTTCCAGTTGCTTGGGGCAGATCATCTTAGAGTAAACAGGGAAGCACAGGACTTGTCAAAAAAACATGTTAGGGCGACACCTTGGCTCCCAAGGAATCGACAGAAGGTCTGATCATAAACGTAGGGGGTTTTTGCTTCTCTTGTTTTTAAGTTGGACTTTTAAAGTAGAAGATGCTTTAATGTGCTGATTTGCAGAACAGGAAATCTGATTTTCAGCGTGATAACACATTCTTTGACATTAACCAGTACAGTTGGATTTTTAATGACACTTTTATCTTCAAAGCCCTTTACCAACACGAATGGATTAATTATTCATTTTTTGGTCGTGTGTTAAAAAGACAAGTCTTCAAAGCCATCTTTTTTTTTTTTTATGTGGAACTGGGGCTCCCCACTTTTCAAACGTTGTTTCCCTGTCCTCAAGGGAGAAAATAAATTGTTGTTGTTGTGGTGGTGGTGGTGGTGGTTGTAAGAAGAATACAATGGAAAAATACTCTGTGCTAAGGAAAGACGATGTCCTTACATCCTGCGTGGGATTAGAACAGGTCGGGAAACTGTACTGAAACTGTGTTTACAGTAAGCACTGTGAGAAATAACTGGCTAAAAGTGTCTGTTACTGTTCAGTCTTTTGATGTTAAAAAGTAGCCCGGAGACCAAAGCACCCTGAGTCAAACAGACGCTGGAACATAATATGCGGGCCCTTATATTCTTTTCTAAAGAATGTGTTTTTTTCGTGTTCCTTTCAAAAAGTGTCTAACTGGGTTTTTAAAAGATTTGGTTTGGGAGAAGAAAACGAGCTTCCCCGGGGGTCCTCCTTGTTTTGACACATCTTCTAACCACAAGAGAGCAGTCTTCCCTTTGATGAGCGCTTCCCTCCACCTCCCCAGAAATGAAAGAGCAAGTGTAAGTTTGCAAACACTCTAAAAGCTCTTTCCATTAGACCTGGACGCCGGAAACCACGGGGCAGTCAAGTCTTGATTTTTCAAGGAGAAAGCCTCGGGTAAACTTTCGCTCCCCGCCGGGAGACCGGTAGGTTCCTGGGAAGAGTTCTCAAACCTTCAAGATTCCTAGGCTGCTTGCAAAAAAACCCTCATCTCTTGAAGCCCAGAACGGTGTATTACAGGAATTGAAAAGCGTTGGTGGCTCTGGATGATTACTGTTTGGTGTGCGCCCACATATCCAGGCTAGGGGAACGAGCAGAGGAGCCCCCCTTTCTTATCTTTTGAAATAAGATCAGAGGCGAAGACGGGGATTCAAGAGTGGATTGGCGCGGGGGAGGAGGTCCTGTATCTGTCTACCACCTCTGGTCWGGATTTTTAGAGCGATCGAGGAGTGCAGTGAACTTCGGAAGCCATGCAAAGTTTCCTTGAAGCCTGTTCTGGAACCTAGTTTCCAGACCCCCAAAAAACTTTTCCAAAGACAGACCAGCGGTGCCAGACTGTTTGGATGGACCACAATCTGGATGAGACCAGGTTTTAAGCCTCATCTTCGGTTGAGAGATTAATTTCTTGAGTGATCTGTTTGCTTTTCGGCTAATTGATGGAGAAACGGAAGTCAGCCGGACTGCTGACCCTTCAGTATGCGCTGCGCACCGCGCCCCTGGGCGTGCCAGGGACCCTGCCTCTGCTACCGCCGAGGGACCCCTTCAGGGTTTCCGTGCGTCTGGACGCCGCGTGCTGGGAGCGGGCGCACCGGGGCTGCGCGCGGGGAAGGCCACGCCCGCCCCCGCCGCTGCGCGGCGCCCTGGAGCCCGCCTTCCTCCGCCAGCGCAACGAGCGYGAGCGGCTGCGGGTGCGCTGCGTGAACGAGGGCTACGCGCGCCTCCGAGACCACCTGCCTCCGGAGCTGGCCGCCCGGCGCCTCAGCAAAGTGGAGACGCTGCGCGCCGCCGTCAGCTACATCAAGCACCTCCAGGAGCTGCTGGAGCGCCACGCGCGCGGACACGAGGGCCCCGCCGGCCCCCAGCGCAGGGCCGAATGCAACAGCGACGGCGAGTCCAAGGCCTCGTCGGCGCCCTCGCCCTGCAGCGAGCCGGAGGGTGCGAGCTAGCGCCCCGACCTCCCGGCCCGGCCCCGCGCCCCTGCCGCCGCCGGGGCAGCCTGGACTCCTCTCCAAACGCGCTTCGCATTTTTAATCTGGTTTCTTCTCCTGGCCTAAATCTTAGGAAAAATAAGTGATTTGCTTCAGGGGAAAAGGGGGTCTGCCATTTGGGGGCTTCCCCCCCGCCCCCGCGCCCTTTTTGCTTACATGCCGGCAACTTAGTGGTGCTTTTAGGGAAATTCTTTTCCCTTACTTTTAAACGCAAATGCAAACTGTTCCAGGTTCTGAGCGCCTCGTTCTAAATAGGATTATTCGGACGACTCAGGGCGGTAAAAAGTGGAATTTCCCACAGTTCGTGATATGGGTTAAGTTAAACGTTAACCCAAGAACGTTACCCTCACCCTACCCCTCCCACCCACCCCCCCCGCGCGCGACCGTCCTTTAGGTGAGAGGACCATTTCCCTTGCACACCTTAACTTTGGAAGTTGCTTCAGAAAACTAATTGACAAGGCGCTTTGGGGGAAGGCGACTCTGGGCCGAAGTCCCCAGGGCACGCTGCAGGACTTCAGCACACACCAATGAATCTGTAAATGATGGTCCAGCCCGGACATTCTGTTTGGTGCACACTGTTTTTAATCAATAAGTGGCTACTTGAAAACTTCGTAGCATTTAACCAATAGTACGCCTTGGCGTTAATTGGAAGAGAACCCAGATTTGTATGACTTCTTTTCTCACTCAGTTACTTTTGTCTGCCGTTTTTCCTTTTCTTTGTGTTCACCTTTGTAGTTCTCGCTCCATCTAAGAATCTGATTAAAGTGACACTGCGACTTTAAAATAAAATGAAAATATGCTTAGTGCTTTTTTAGGGGGCGGTGGGGGGGGACTGGGGATTGGACTCGGGGCAGTCAGCCACTGAGCCACTTCCCCAGCCCTATTTTGTATTTTATTTAGAGACAGGGTCCCACCGAGTTGCTTAGTGTCTTTTGCTGAGGCTGGCTTTGAACTCCCGATCCTCCTGTCTCAGTCTTGGGAGCTGCTGGGATTACAGGCTTGTGCCACTGCACCAGGCATACTTTACTGTTTTTTGATAGTCGAACTGGATTTGGGGAAGGAATGTGGGACAAGGGATGGATTGAGCTTGACACATCATCAAACGTTTTATCCTTGAGGGCTTTCAGGCATATTGAAGTTACCCGGTGATTTTGGTAGTTACCAGTTACTTTAAAAATATTTGATCTAGGGGCTTGGGGAAGTAGAGTGCTTGCCTAGCATGCCCTAGGATTCAGCTGTTACTACCCCTTGGGTTCAAAAATTAATCCTGAGTATTTTTCTGAGAAGTATGAATTCAGCAGATAAATTGGATGAATATTAACATATGAAGATAAAGTCAGTCTCTCTCTCTCTCTCTCTCTCTCTCTCTCTCTCTAGCAGGGATTGAATCCAAGGGCATATTATCACTGAGCCACATCCCCAACCTTTTTTATTTTGAGAGGGGTCTTGCTAAGTTGCTTAGGGCCTGGCTAAGTTGCTGAGGTTGGCCTGGAACTTGTGATCCTCCTGCCTCAGCCTCCCTTGAATTTGTGATATTCCTGACTCAGCCTCCCTTGAATTTGTGATCCTCCTGCCTCAGCCTTCTGAGTCACTGGGATTACAGGCATGCATTTATAAAGGTGCCCAGTTTATAAAGTTCTCTCTAGTGTCTTCCGATGTGCTGAGCTTCTCTTTCCCTGGAGGCGGCTTTGGTAAGGGGCATTTAGTAGGAGAAGGAATGAGCACTTCCCAGGTATTGTTTCACTTCGTCTCCACATGGGCTTCATGAGGCAGGTTTTATAGATGTTAGGGAAGCTGTTTTTCACTGACGAGCTTTTACATGCCAGGACTATAGTTGTGTGCTTTTCACATTTTGTCCCATCCTCAAAAATCTGTAGGACAGGGAATGAATGCTCCTATTTTTGTTTAAAAAAAAAAAAATGAAACTCAAAGAGGGTGATAGACCTTGACTAGTTGCTAGGATGGAACTGAGACCCAATCCTGAGTCTGTCTGATCCCCAAACCCAGGATTTCTTCTGCACTGTGCCCTCTTGCTGTGATTTGCTAGCTGGGTGGCCAGCGCCCTCTGCTACTCTTTCCTCAATCTCTTCTCTTTGCAGGAGTGGGAGGGGCAGAGCCTTGATAATCTGTAAGGTGCTCATCAATCGGTAGCTTTTGTCGTATTTGGAGAAAGTCCTGTACTATTTTTCAGTTGCACAGAGAATAAAGTTGCATGAAGAATAACTTCTGGGTGGAGCCAGTGTGATCTCTTCAGTGTTTAAAAGGAAAGAGTGACCAGGTTATTAGGATTTCGCCTTCTTTGTGAAGGTTCCAGAGAAATAAATGATTTGCCCCTGGAATGCTGACTCCGTGTTAAAATATATAATTGCTGATGTAATAACGGCTTGTTGTGGACCACAGAGAAATGCTGTGTAATGAATGATTCATAACTAAATTTTTTCTTAAGAAGGGTGCCTTCTGGGTGGATTTAGCAAGATGCAATGGTTAACTTCTCTCACAGATTACTCAATCACACACACACACACACACACACACACTCACACACAAATCCCTCCTCTATTTTGGTCTCTAGGCTGGTTGTTATTCCAAAGGGGGACTTCAATGGAGCCAGCCTAAGGGAGGTGAATTTGCTAATTAGGAAAAAATCAGGAAAACACCCAGGTTACCTGCCTGGCTGAGTCAGAGGACAGTCAGCCAAATCACTGGGAGACTTAAGGTGGTTCTGTTTGAAATCCTATTGAGAATAAGGCAATGATTTGGGAAAACCAGCTTGCGGGGGGGGGGGGGGGTCCCATCTTAACCATAGAATCTTTTTAGAGGGAAAAAAAAATCAGGCAGTTTTTCTGGAACCTTCCTGGTAGCTCACTGGAGGAATGCCATTGTAGAAATGAAAGCTTTTAAAGCATAAGCCTCAGCAACTCTGTGAGGCCCTAAGCAACTTAGCAAGACCCTGTTTCGAAATACAAAATAAAAATCAGGGGGCTGGGGTTGTAGCTCAGTGGTAGAGCGCTTGCCTCGCATGTGCAGGGCACTGGGTTCGCTCCTCAGCACCACATAAAAATAAATAAAGGTATGGTGTCCAACTACAACTAAAAAATAAATATTTTTTTAAAAATCGGTAGGGATGTGGCTCCGTGGTTAGTTAAGTGCCCCTGGGCTCCATTGCTGGTACCAAAAAAAAAAAAAGTTTGAACTTCACTCTTCCTGTGCCAATCACTACATTAAACCAGAGAACAACTGTGCTTCCCAAAAGAACAAGATGATAAATTCCCAACACATTCTGTGGAAGCAGTGGAGCAGAGGGGCGTGTTGTGGAAATGACACTCCACTCCTGGGCTCAAAGAAGAAGGAGGGGCTGTGGCAGGGTGTGCCCTGGCCCTGGGGCTGGGTCTCACTGACTTAGTGACTTGGGCAAGTCCCTGACTTCTGTGGTCTCAGCTCCCTGCGCTAGGACACCTGAAGACTGGACTGCACTACCTTTTAGCCTAATCTAGCTCCAAAACACCAGCATCCAGTGTGTGCAAAGTCCTCTACTAAGACACACAGCTTCCTGCCCAGGGCCCGGTGGCTTTCAGTTCCTGTATTTCTCTTTTCCCCACTAGAATGTGACAACCTGGAGCTGAAGCCTACTCCTTTCATTATTTGGATTGGAACTTGAAGAACTTTGCGTACTGGTGGGAAAGCAGGGCCATTTTCCCTTAAATTGAAGAGAACAGGTACGCGAGGTATAAGTGATGTCTTAACTGAAAAATGCTATTGATAATAGACAGGACGGTGATGTTTCAGAGCTGGGTCCTTCCTGGCAACTGAGATGATGCAAAGACCCCTCCTTGAAACCCCAATTCTTGTGACCAAATCAGAAAGATTTCAGAGCACTCGGAGGAATGGGAAGGGTGTATTGAAAGGATGGGAAAAGGGAGGGGGACGCTCACTAGGGAGAAAGTGGGGCCTCTCAGAGAGGAGAGAGTGGACAAGGTGCCTCCCCCGCACTCCAGAGAGTTCCACCCAGGTCCACACCTCTCTCTCTGCCTCACCTGTGCGAGGCGAGTGCCCTGCCACTGAGCTATGTTCCCAGCCCCCAGGTCCATCTCTTGACTTTTGACTGACAGCAGGGTGACATCAGACTTTCAAGACCTCAAGGCCAGACCACTCAAGGTCACCTTGGTCTATGTTGACTTCTAATTGGCTTATTAACCATACGTGTTCGTATAGATTCTATGGTGAGGAGGAACTATCCTTATCTCCCAGACTTTCAGGGTCTGGTCTGTGAAAAGGATAACAAAAGTCTCCCCGTTCAGGGTAACTTGAGCGCCTCGGGCCGACATGACTCGGGGCCTGCATTTCTCCTGCAGTRAACAGGTAGTTTGCCGAGGAATATGACATATCCTGTCCACTGAGGGCAGGCAGGGCTGCAGGTAAATTGCTTCTTGGGAAAGAAAGCCTGTGGGGGTYGGTCAGCACCGTGGGCCCGTTTTATAGAATTCTCTTGTTCCCACCATTTGCCCCCGTCTGTTCCCTGAAAGTGGGAACCTGAGGTTAAGAGGATAATTCTGTAAATGGGACCTGCTATACTGACCCCACATGCTTTCTTTTAAAAAGCCATTTACTGCTGGGCAGGGTGTCACATGCCTGTGATGGCAGTGGCTCAGGAGGCTGAGGCAGAAGGATGGAGAGTTCAAAGCCAGCCTCAGCAAAAAGTGGGGCACTAAGCACTCCAGTGAGAACCTGTCTCTAAATAAAACACAAAACAGTGCTGGGGATGTGGCTCAGTGGCTGAGTGCCCGAGTTCAATCCCTGGTAATCCCCACACCCACCAAAAGCAATTAAGTCACACCCCTGCCTGGATTGAATCAATATGACATGCTACATTCCTCAGAAACAACCTGATTTCTGCAGGAGAAATGCAGGCCCAAAATAAGACTCCTCCCTGCTGATAAGAAGAACAGTTTTCCCCAAAG